GAAGTCCCTACTTGGGACTTCTGCAGGGTGTGACCTGGCAGGGAGAGCAAACCAGAGAGACTGAGTCTTCCAAAGCTGCAGTCCAGTCTCCAATGAAATATAGTTCATGATTAGATAAAGATGACTCAGCTCCACTCTCTGCCCCATCAAGGTTTGCAATCAACCCTCCCTGGGGAAGATAACAGCATTTTCTGCACCATTCTTAACCTGGGACCTTTGGACCCCCAAAAGATTTGTGGATAGGCTTGAAATTCAGCAAAATTGGTTTCTTTGTAATCCAATGCATTTTATTTTCTGCACTGAAAATATTCTTTTAAGAAGGAGTCTGTAGGGCCTCCCTGCTGGCACAAGGTGTTAAGACGCAGCATTATTGGAGCTATCTGGAGTCACTGCAGCACAGTTTGATCTCTGGCCAGGGAGCTACCCAGGTGGTGCAGCAGACCTCTCCTGTCTCACCCACTGCTCCCCTCAGCAGTGTATTTTAGTCAATCAGCCTGTTCTATTCCCCACTCTGTCTCTGGAGGATCCACTCACCCCCCCATACCTCTGGCCTGTACCCCAGTTCTTGTATGCATAAATTAATAATTCTTAAAAAGAAAAGAGTCTGTAGACTTCGCTAGACTGACCAGGGAGTCCTGACACACATCTCTCATGTACAATGTACAGAATTCCAGCAAAAAAGTAGGACCAGGAATTAAGATCCATTACATTTCTATACACTGGCACAGTTAGGAAGCAAAATTAAAACAAAACCCCCACCATTTATAATAGCCACAAAAACTACAAGCCATCTAGAAATAAATCTAATAGACTAATGTAAGACCATACTCAGATAATTATAAAATGTTTGTGGAAAGATATTGGACAAGACTCATATGGAAAAAAAAAAGTCATATTTGGGCCTCCCTGGGGGTGCAAGGGGTTAAGCACAGCACTATGAAGCTTTCTGCACCCTCTGCAGCACAAATTTGATCCCCGGCCAGGGAGCCTCGTCTGCCTCTCCCCTCAGCAGTGTATTTCAGTGGATTCGCCTGTTCTGCCCCCCACTCTGTTTCTGGTGAATCCTCTCACCCCTCACACCTCTGGCCTATACCCCAGTTCTCATATGCATAAATAAATCTTCTTTAAAAATTATTTTTTTAAAAAGTCATATTTATGTGTGAAAGTATTAATATAATATCTAACATTTGGGAGTGATTATTCCACAGAACTGATCTGTTTATTCTATGTAATCCCAAACAAAATCTCAACAGGGTTTTCATGTAACCTGAGAAGATATTCTAAAGTGTATTTGGAATATTGGAGTTTTAAAATAGTTCCCTGAGAGACCCCAGGGAGCGACATGTGAAAGTGACTTATTAGGAAGTGTTCCCAGGAAGAGCTGGTAGTGGAGACTGTAAGGGAATCAGAGGGACGTGGGCAAAGGACGGGCGGCATTGCTGCCCCCAAGGAAATGAACAGGATGAAGGGATTTCCCTACCAGAGAGCAAGACTCAGTAATCAATTTAAGTAGGTAAGACAATTTGAATAATTAAGACCATTTAAGTAAATAAAGCAAATTTAAACTTGCCAGAGAGATTTTTAAAAAATTGACCATGGACAAAATTCAAGGTGCAGGTAGGGCCACGGGTCCCTTCTGACTCCCTCCTCTGGCTTCTGGTGTCACTGGCTCTCTTCGGTGGTCCTTGGCTCATAAACACAGCTCCAGTTTCTAGCTTCCATCTTCACCCGGCTTCATCCCTTTGCACGTGTCTACCTCCCCCCGGCCTCTTATAAGGACACTCCTCATGGGATTTAGTTACCTGAATCCACCGTGACCTCAGCATAACTGAACTAATTGCATCCACAAAGACCCTATTTCCAACGGGAGCCACAGTCCACATTGTGGGCCGCGCGTCCTTGCTCATCAGTTTCCCACAGGGGATGTGGGCGCTGCGGCGTCCCCGCGCCAAGCCGTTCAATTCAGTTCTGACACGATCCACCAGGAGGCAGGAGATTCCACAGGTTAGGGGCTCAGTCTTCCAAGGCCACCCTCCACGTCGGGTGTGGGCCCAGAGCCCAGCAAACTCTTGCTTCCAAACAGCTACAGATCCGGGCTCCCGGTGACCCCTCCTCTCGCTTCAGATGTGTGGCCTGTACTTCTGGCCAACTGGCTCTAAAGCAGAATCCCAGAACACCCATCACAGGTTTGGTTAATTTGCTAGAACAGCACCCAGAAATCAAGACACACTTTCAGTAGATCCCTGATTTGTCACAAGGGCTACTGAAAGATAAGAGTCAGCAGCCTCATGGCAGAGATGCCTAGGCCAGGTGCGGGGGAAGAAGTGGTGCTTCCATGTCCTCTCCAGGCCTGCCACTGTCCCCCAAATCTTCACTGTTCACCAACCCAGAGGCTCCCCAAAGTCCCATCCTCTTGGATGTTTATGGTGCTTCATTTCACAGGTGCAAGCGATGGAATCACAGGCCATTGGCCGCTGACCTCTCCCCAGCCCCTCGATCCCCCGGGGGATCCAGGGTGTGACCGGAAGGCCCCCTCTCCATGCCAGCCAGTTTCCCTGACAAGCAGCCCCTTCACAGGTGTTTTCCAAAGCCACCTTCTTCATCATGGACCCACGTAAAGACACCTGTTCAAGCACTCACAGCTCTGCTGTTATGGCGAAAGATGCTCCCGTTGCACAATTGGGCCAGGAAATTTCAAGATCTGGGAGCTGGAGCCAGAACTGTGGCTGGAGACCGCACGTGAGAAGTTCCCTTTGGCCACTTGAGTGACCGAATATGTATCTTGCCTATAAATCACAATCAGACACATTCTAGGTATGCATTTGGGGAAAAGAGGGGACATTGTAGCCAGTCAGCGCAAATGGCCAGTTGTCATGAAAAGCAGCTCAGCTGCTGTAGCAACCTGGTAAATGCTGATGGCGTCTAGACCATGGACGTTCTCCACCGTCCAGGCTGAGGGACGTGGAGGAGGGCAGCGGGTCGGCCAGATGGAGCAGTGCGGGCAGGCGTGCGGGTTGGCTCAGAAAACGAGGGCTTGATGGTCATTTTCTCTTTCTGCTCATCTTGCAGGAACAGCAGGGCAGGCTCGCGGCAATGGGACCCAAACACCCCTACCCGCTGTAAACAATTGTTAAATCCTGGATTTTTCATAAGTTGACAAGGTGTGCTTCAGAGCTCAGAAGAGTGTCCAGGGTCCCCAAGAAGAGGTCTCATTCCCCAGACCAAAAACAGCCACAGAGGGCGGGCTCAGGTGCCAGGCCTGGTTAGACAGACAGCATTCGGAAAAGAGGCGGCTCCGGACCCAAAGTCCAGTCACACTGTGATTGAGCAGAAAGCTCCATCACCTGCTACCAACTGGCATGTTCTATATTTGTTCTTTAACCCCATAAATATCCCAGAGCCCCATGCCTGGGACACTGATTGGAGAGCCTCGATTCCTTTCTTCACTCATTCACCAGTTGCTGAGAGACAAAAGCCGCCCACGATGGTGCCTGTCTGGACACTCAAGGATAAAATGTGGAGGGGGTCTGATCTGGAACATTCTGGAAAAAGAAGAGGCTCCAAAATGGGAGGAGGGGAGGTAAGGTACACAAAGTCTTTTCATTTAAAAACATATAAGCTCTTTAATGAGAGAAGACAGATTCTGGCTAATTCATTATTAGTCATAATTTTATTCCTGATTTTGTGGACTGTTAATTCTTATCTTTCTCAAACCAGTTTCACTCTTTGCTCACTGCTTGCATGTTTTGTCCTGTCCTTTACCCTTCTGCTTTGTCTAATTTCCCTCCTCTGTTCTCGAGATGCCTGAGGGCTGCCCTTCCCCTCTCAGCCCATCTGCCCTGTTTTCGCTCTGCACCCTCTAACCCGCCAGGTTCCGCACAGGAACGTTCATGGCGTTGGCTTCCTCCAAGCCCGGGGCCACAGGGTCTGTTTTAAAGAGGAACAGCCCCGAGGTGAAAATGACCCCAAAGCAGAGATTTCCTGACAGTCCCTGGAAACGGCTCCCGGGCCCCAGTCCATCTACCTGGGCTCCTGGCTCCTTGGCAGCTTAACACTCAACCTCCCTTTCAAACCTGCAACGAGAAGGTTGGAGCAGCCCCCACTCCATCTCCTCCGGGGAGTCTCACCACAACACAGCAAACGGCAGCAGCTGGGCCGGAGGAGGACGGGGAACAATCAAGGAGCCAGAACGGCAAGACCTAGCTTCTTAATAGTCAACTCTGAGCTACTTCACTCTGAAGACTACAGCCCGGAGGGAGACACCTCCTCCCAGGGGCCCTCAGCTCATCCACATGACTTGTCAGTTTCTCAACTTCCTTGTCAGGACTGACCACGAAGGTGGGCCTTTTCCTAGGGGGAGGACTCTAATATTTGAGTACATGAAGGAAAAGCCGAAGCTCTGGGGTCAGGCAGCCAGTTTGAATTCTGGTCCTCCCCTGTCAGGTCTGTAAAGCTGTTCACGAGAGTGTGCTCGTGTAAGGTGGCGAGCAGTGAGTGGCATATGGCGTCTCCCACGTCACATCCCCACAGCTGGGATTTTGTGCTGTGAGCATCTGCAGGGAGGGGCTGATGCAAGGGCTGGGAGAGCCCCCGGAGCCTGGGTCTCTCCCGGGGCTGGCGGCTGATTTCAAGTTCACCCAACTGGAAGGCATTTTAAAAAAGGAACACCCTTGAACGGCGGGAACAAGGTCTGTGAGGGCAAGCAAGGCAGGCAGGAGGGACTGTCAGAGTGACGATGCTCGGAGGGTCCCAGTGGAGAGGGTGTCCACGAGCGTCCTCTGCCTTGCTGCAGGACAGTCCCAGAGAAAAGGACTGGACGAGGCGGCGCCGGGCCTCCTGGTGGGACACACAGCAACGCCAGTATTGCTTTCCCTACTCATGTGTCCAACGGAAACCTTTTGAAATGAAATTCCGGTGGGAAATGCCCTTGCTCTACATTCTAGAAATAAAAGGCAAGATTTGGGGATGCAAATGTGCTTCAAAAATACCTATGTGGGTTTTTGAAACATGGCGGACGACGTGGACCAGCAACAAACTACAAACACTGTAGAAGAACCCCTGGATCTCATTAGGCTCAGCTTGGATGAACGAATTTATGTGAAAATGAGAAATGACAGAGAGCTTCGAGGCAGATTACATGCTTATGATCAACATTTAAATATGATATTGGGAGATGTGGAAGAAACTGTAACTACTATAGAAATTGATGAGGAAACATATGAAGAAATCTATAAATCAACAAAACGGAATATCCCGATGCTCTTTGTCCGGGAAGATGGTGTTGTTCTAGTTGCCCCTCCATTGAGAGTTGGCTGAAACAAAGAATTTATCCCATGTGGAAAATAGGAGACTTTGTGCGATTGCTCTTTAGCTGTAGAAGATGCTCAGAGACACCTGCGTAAATTTTGATATTAAGAAATGATCAAGGATTCTTCCACTCCTGAAATGTGTTGATTTGCAGATAACTCACAATTTCTTAAGCTAAATGGCATTTTTATTTTTCTCCAACCCTTCCAATAAATGTGGTCAACAAGGCCGAAAACCTTTTCAGGAGTTAATTTGCTCCAGTTGTTTTTTTCAAACACTTGTTTTTTTTTTTTTTGTAAAATTAAACTTGTTCCCTTTTTTATTAAAAAAAAAAATACCTATGTGGGAAAGGCAGGGAGCACCCAGGTGCTCGCTCAGCCCCACCAGTGTTCACGATACCAGCTGGACCACGGGAGGCTGAAGGGCTTCCGTGATGTCTCATTGTGCCATTATTTTCGTTTTATGTGTTTTAAGGAATGTTTTTAGCTTTCCACATGATCTTAGAGCAAATCATTCTAAAGGGCTCCTTTCAATCAAATGCATCCATCAATAAATCAGGGTGGTCATGACCTTGGCATTAACAGTACCCTGAAATATTTACCCCACCACTTGGAACAAGGCTTATGTTCCTTGTTTAAGATGGTGATGGTACAAAGCTTGTAAGAGCTGATCAACCCGCTATTAGGAACATTCTGGTTTTTTAACTTATTAGCAATTGGAGCTTATTCAAGCTGTACCCAAAAGCCATATGTGAGATTATCCTTCTAAACACCCCACAGGAGTTTTAATGCGTGAACATTTCATTCCTGCTCTGAAAAGCTCCAGCCATTCCTTCTGAAGCCCCAAGACATGGTTCTGTAGGACTGGATTAAACGGTCCCTGGGCATCGAGTTGGAATTATATTTACAGCCATGTTAGCAATCACAGAAAATTTCTCCCTCATTTGTAGTATCAGTGTCTGATTTGCCAAAAAAGAAACTTCTCAGATTTACACCAGTTTCATCCATCCGGTGTAAGTCCAGGCGTCCACTGGTCCTTTGGCAAAGTCAGACGTCCAGGAAACAGCCAAGATTTGCCACCCGAGGTCAGGATGGTAGCAGGATGGTTGAGGTCGTACTGAAGGTCATCTCAGGAGAGAAACCCCTAAAATATTCCAGCCCCAGGTGGCAAAGTGCAGCTGTCACCAGAGGGAACCAAAGGGGTCGCCTGTTTGGTTTTCTTCCTTAGTAATTGTTTTTACTAAAGTATCTGTCGTTTACAGTCTGTACAACATTGGGGTACATCTTTCCTCCTCCCCGTGGGCGCCTGCTTCACTCGCCCTCCCCCGGCTGCCCCTGCACCCCCTCTTCTCCCCATCCCCTCTCGTAACCGTTACATTCTTCACTAAGTTTCAGAATCGTCTGTTCTGTTTCGCCAGTCAATGTTTTTGGTTATTTATATTCCGCAGACAAGTGAGACCATCCCCTACCTGACTTTCACTTTCCGACAGTTCCATTTCGCGTCACCACTCAAGGCGCCATCCCGTCTTTGTTAACAGCTGAGGGGGTGCCGTGTCTCCGCGCAGCCGCCCCTCGTGGGCGCCGGGCGGGCTGCTAGGAACACACCGCTGGTGTCTGCGTCACCTACACGTTAAGAATAATCTTTCACATTTTTGAATGTTTGAAAAAAAACAAAGAATTTTTATGACATGTGAAAATGATGCAGCTTGTAGCGGCAGGATGGCACGGAGCAGCATCTCTGACCTGAGCAGACGGGTGAAGGAGGAGTCCTGGAGCCCTCGGTGGCTTTTCAGGCTTTTATTGGGTTTACCAGGCACATGGCAGGCAGGGGTGCCGCGGGGCCGGGAGGCTGGCAGGACTCCCAGCCCCCAGCAAGTCTTCACCCTCTCTGGGCTCTCCGGCCTTCTCTCGTGGTCTCTGCTTCTCTTTCACTCTGCTGTTCTGCTCTGCTGGCGTCCCTGTGACGCTGCCCTTATGAGCCCAGTCTCTCAGCCCAGGTGTGCCCACTTGCGTATGCCCGCACCCCACTCCAGGTGCCCGCCATTGGGCGTGCCTTCAGGACTGCAGATCCATCATCCATCCTGACGGCGGGAGGACAGAAAAGCCTGACACTTGACTTACCCTACACAGCTCAGTCTTAGCTTCTGCAGACAAAGTGTTGATGGCGCACAGCACACTCGCTCACGTACAGCTCGTCCACGGTGCTCTCGCCCAGACTGCTCAGGGGGCTCAGGCCTGGCTGGCCCGGCCCTCCAGGGCTGCCTGGGAGGGGCCTGCACTCAACTGGGAATCCAGATCCTGAGAGATTTTGTCTAGTTGGCCTCCTGTCTTCATGTCCTCCAGAGATGAAGCTGGGACTGTCCCCAGGGTGCCCAAAGCCGTCTGTCCTCACTCTGCCATCAGCCCTGTGGGCCTGGCGCCCGTCCCCAGGCCAGACCTGCCCAGCTCGCCGAGAAGCACACCTCATGCCTTGACATCTAACAGTGAATTGTTTTTATAACCCAACAAAGACTTTCACTTGTACCCAGAAAGCCAAACTCTGAACCAGGAGAAATGTCTTTGCACAGAGGAGTTCATTCCAGATGGCCATCAAAGGACTCGGTGTCATAGGCTCCCCAAAACAACCAGCACTCCAAATGGCGGGAGAGCTGAGATTTTCTAAGGGGCAAATGAATGGGAGGGACACGTAGAGCCTCACATTGCCAGCACGAGAAGGCCGGTCTCGGGGACCAGGGCCCCTTCCCCCACTGTGTGTTTTTTCAGCCACCAGCAGACATTTGTTTCTGATGCGTTTTATTAGGGATGTAACACAGTTTTCCAAGTTCCCAGGAATGCAGGTGGAGCCCGTGAACAGTTAATCTCCAGGAGGGGTGGAGGGAGAGAGGACAAAGGGCTGTCAGAGCTTAATTGCACTTGTTCCTAACTTTTAGTCTAGGGAGTATATTTGTTTACTTATTTTTGCAAAATGGAAGGGATCCAGCCACATTTTTATTGTGGTTAAAAATAAAAGTTATTGGGCCTCCACTGGTGGTGCAGCAGTTGAGCGCTGGGCTGCGAGGCTGGCCTCCGCCTCTGCAGTGTCAGTTCAATCCCCGGCCGCCGGCGAGGGTCCCACATGGCACGACGACCTCTCCTGCCACACCCGCTGCTCCCCTCAGCAGTGTGCTTCGTCAGTCTGCCTGCTCTGCTCCCCGCTCTGGCTCTGATGAATTCTCTCACCCTCCTGTGCTTCTGACTGTACCCAGTGCTTGTATAAATAAATAAATAAATCTTTAAAAAAAAACTTAATTCTTAATCTTTAAAAATAAATAAATAAATAATAAAAAATAAAAGTTACCATGTTGACCATTTTTCAGGGTACAGCTTGTGGCCTTAAACACATTCACGCTGTTGCATGACTGTCCCCACCACCCATCTCCAGAACGTTTTCATCTTCCCAAACTGAAGCTCTGGACCCATGGCACGCCCACCCTCCGCCCCCAGGCCCTCACACCCAGCCTCCAACTTTGCCTCTGCAATTGATGTCTCTAAGCCCTCAGAGGAGTGGAGTTGCACAGATCCGTCCCTTGGGGCCGTGACCACCACGTCACTTAGCATCATCCTCTCCTCCTTCAAGGAGGAGCCTCCTGGCTGATGAGCTGATGAGCCTGCATCATTTCGCTTGGCTGGCACAGTGACTTTGTAAGAGCAGGTGATTTTATGCAGTGGTAGAGGATGCCTCAGTCAGCCCTGAAGACACCCTGAGGCTGTAAGGGGAGCAGTGAGGAGCCACCTCCAGGCCAGTGGGTGGCGCTCATGGCCAGCGGGGTGGTGGAAGTTGGGGCTTTCCAAACTCTCCCCCCCAAGCAGGGCTGAAGGGACAGAACTAAGGCTTTCGGGTCTTTCGACTGGTGATGCTGCTGGGCTTCTGGGAGTTAAACCACTGGCGAGGAAGGAATCTTCAGAGAAGCCACCAGCTTGCCACATATGGCATTGGCTTGGGCCTCGGTCTGCTCAGCGGACACTATGCGGGTCCGTCAGATGGCCTCTGGCACGGACCGGCCTGTGAATACTCTCCCTTCCCAGGTGTAAATAACTCCTGTCATTGTCACTTCACACTGGGTCTGCTTTGGGTCACATTCTGCAGTTGTCAGTGTGTAGGTGAGAACCCACCCTCCGGGCCACCCCCTCCCCCAGGTTGCTGGGTTTCAAGGAGCCTGTAGGCAGATCCCGCACATGCCGGGGCTCCCTGCCAAGGTGTTCTCATCACGGCCATGCCGCAGCCATGATGAGGAGGCAGGTGTGCTGGGCACAGGCAGAGCCACAGGCCTAGGCACCATCACCCGAGGCGTGACCCCCACCAGTGAGGAGTAGGAGGCAGTGGTTCAGCACCAGGAGGGTGGTTCCCGGGTGGGTAAATGCACCTCTCGAGGGTCCCTCCACTCTGGTCATCACAGACCCCCTCCTTTTCTCTCTGGGTTCCCCACACCCTCCCGTGCTCCTCAGGAGACCTCCTGAACAAATCACTTGCACCAAATCCTTGCCTCGGGATCTGCTTTGGATGAGCTGTAACTAAATCACCAAGAATAGATAACAGGCTCAGAGAGATTCACTTGTTGACTCTTGCATGGCCAGTTAGTACCTTTCTCCTAGTCTTCCCCTCCTAAGTGCCCCTCCCTGCTCCCTGTAATAAGGCATTTCCATCTGGGTTGGCTGAGGTCGCAGGAAGGGAGTGTTAGCAGCAGGCCTTTAAATCACCCCTCCCATACAGGTGGGGGTGTGGGGGGGAAATACATCACCTCAGCCAAGGCTCCCTGCAGAGATGTCACCCCCAATGAGGCTGCTTTGTAAAAACGCTATGCTTAGGAACCAGTCCTATTCTCAGCAGGACACACCCAATCTGTTGAGACTGTTTATTACAAATATATCTGGAATTTATAGATTTATGGGGCACGGACGACTGGAGAAGAGGGAGGAGTCACATACACATTCTGTGTGTGATGAACAGAGCACAAGATGGAGGCGCCCAAACCAAACCCCTTACTTGGAGAACAATCTCTGTCTACCTTACTCAAAACTCATTAGTTAATTGGAAACCAAGAATATGTTCTCAGGAAGGAGGAGGGGGCATGGGGGGCTGCATCTCAGGTTTGGGGTCCTCCAGAAATGAATGTTTCATGTGTGCCTGTGCTGCTTCTCCCTGGGAATCACTAACCTTCTATAGGGTAAAATCTATAATTCACATTGCATCTGCCTTTACAACTCAACTCTTTGTGTTAACACACCTATGTGCACATTAAAAATCAGTGCAGGACCTTCCCGGTGGCGCAGC